CTTGTTAGAGGATATGGTTGTCATGGAAGGAGTAGGCCACTTCATAAACCAGGAGAGACCACAGGAGATCAGCAACATCATCCTTGAGTTCATCAAAAAATTCTGATTCACCAGCATCACACCATTCTGGTTTTTTACATTCCAATCTTGTTGCATCTTGTAGTGAGGTCTGGAGCTGTAATAAAGTTATTCAAAACTAGTAGCAGAATGTGAAAGGAGATCTTGCTGTTGTATTTTCTTGGACAAGTTCATCTGAAAGGTAAAATAATAGTTTTGCCAACAACATCATTTTTTTTACTATTTAAGAGCGACTATGTAGTATCTTACCATTATTAAGATATATAAAAATTATATTTATTTTAATTTATAATATTTAAATCTTTGTTTATAATTTTTATTAAGACCTTTTTAAATCTTCCTCCATCTCTCATTGCATTATTAATGATAATAATTTCATCTTTTCTAATTATAGCATTCATAGATCTGTCAGATATATATTTGTATTATTTTAAATGATTATTTCTTATTTTATCAATTTCTATGATACATAATTATTCACTAATTAAAAAAAATTTATATATCTTTCACATTAAGTTCACATATCTATCATAATATTTTGATCTCAGCAATATAAATTTATCGAATACTTACATTCATAAAGTATTATTAGTTTAACAATTACTTTATAAAATTTTTCTCTTAATTTCAAAGATATTTAGTGACACCCTAGAAAGTTGAGAATGGTATGATGTCGTAATTCTATAGGTTTTTCTATAAAAATATAATGTAAAAACTTAAACAAATAACTTTCAATTATATGTATTACATAATCTAATCAATAATCTATCTATCTACAAGACATTCATGAAATTCAATAACTCATTCAAAGTTCTTAACATTTCATTCCAAATAACATACATACAAAATAATCTTAGTATATAATAAAATTTAAGATTTTTTATTTTTTTATCCATAATCACAAATGAGCTACTTCTCATATTTGAAAAACTTAAAAATAATCATATGAAAAAATCATAGCTCAGTAAGCATCGTGACTCATATACTAACAAATCTTATCATAAATAAATATATTTTTAAAAATAATAAATATTTTATGCATTCGATATATATTTTTAAAATATGCATAAATACCAAAATTTTCTTCATTTTTATATAGTTTAAAAAATATATTTTTTAGAACATGTATTTTCAAAATACAAAATGTGATCCTTTTCGTAACGACATATTGCATAATGAACGCATAAACATAGCTAACGTCATAGCATAAATTAGTGTAACTATTCACAAATAACATAAATATATCTAATCGTTCATAAATATAAATTTAACTAAGTTGTATAATGTCAAAATAAAAGCTACAGTAGCATTAATGACTATGACCATATTATATCATAAATTCAGATAATATAAATCAATAAATACTTATAACATAATAAATAACTATTCAAACTATATGACTTTCTAAATTCTTTTGCTTATAACATAACATAACATTTAAATCAATGTTATACTTATAAAAAATATAAATTATTTTGTAATATTTTAAATAACAAAAACTTGTAAATCATGTAAATCACATGTATTTATCAATTCCAAACACAAGCATTAATAATTTTCAAAATCGAATACTTATCTTGATTGTATATTCTTGATATAAATATATAATTCTGATGCTTTTTTTCCCTCTTCTTATTGTTCCTACATGATTGTTTTTCCTCCTCCTATTTATTTTTTATAACATAAATATCAAATAATCTAAGGACGTCATAATTAATGATATTGTCCTGCACACTAATCTAATCAGTAGGAGTGTAATAGAATTCAAAAACGTATCTGATACAATTTTCCTAAACTTAATCCGAATTTATTTAATATCAAAACAGATCCTCAATCATTTTTCTTTTCTCTTTCTTTTGGGCTCCTTTATATGAGGCGCAAAAGCTTCTTTTCTTTTTCTCCTCTCATTTCTTTCTCCTTTCTCTTTTCTTTCTCTCATCCTTTTCCAACTGTCCTCTTTTCCTTTCTCCCTCTTTTTTTTTTCTTTTTTTTTCCCTTCTATTTTCACATGCTTTCTCCAATTGCACGAGATCAGTTAAAAAATATTAATGTATAAGAATATATTAAAAAAAGAAGACTAAGAGAATAATTTATATTGATAAATAACAAAAAAGTTAGATTATATATTATTTATTATT